TTTGACAGGGGCTCTTTTAGTCCTGAAATTAAAATATAAAGTGGCAGGCTCCAAAAAGCCCTATAAATACATCGGAAGGTAGAAGTAATTGGCTCTCCCATGAACCAGGAAAGCAGAACAGGTTTTAAAAACCCTATGCCAAAAACATAATGAATGACAGGCAGGCTCCTAGCTGATAAGCTCAAAATGAAAATTGTGTGCACTGTATCAGTTAAGAACAAATAAGATACGATTCCTAACTAACTCAGAAGAAAAGAGCAGACCCTGTGGGCTAGTTTATAAAGGATTACATGTCTCAGATTAAATTTAACATGCAAAAAAAAAAAAAAAACAGACAAGAGTACTTTAAGAATCTACCTCAGCCTCTGCCAGAAATAAACAGCACAAATTCCTGGGCTTACACCTCACAAAGTTAAGAGAAATATAAAAACAAGTAAAATGTGGAGTTTTTTAGCTGCATTTTACTAGGTTCTAAAAGGAATCTGAACACTCACAGTAGTATTAGTTTAATGCGATAATGTAAGCAGGAAATAGTCCACCTGCTTGGAAAAGAAACAAGGATAATAGGTGAAAAGATTGGGTCCATTACACAGGCTTATTTCACTAACACGATACTGGAATGAATATATTAGAGGATTGATCTGATGCAAACTAATTAAATACATACTCAAATCAATGAATGTCTAGTATAAGCAAGCGAACGCAGATAAATATGAGATGGGTCCTTGATAAAACAGATAAAAACAGAGTACCTTATAGTCTCTGGATCAGAGAACACAACAGAATTACCCTGGAAGGGCTGAATTAGGGGAAAGAAGTCTGAAAAAAAATTTCTGACAAGCGGCAGCAGGCAGGAGTGCCCACCTGCAGGTTTTAACACAAAAGCTTGCTCCAGCCATAGGGATTCCAGCCCCAGTCGCCGTGCTGGATCTTCAGCCAGAAGGAATAAAACAATGGAGCAAAGCACAGTCTCTTTTAGCTTTAAAACAAACATACTTTATGTAAATTCAGCCCTGCATACAAACTTCTGAGTCAGAAAACGTACTTGTCTGCGTATCTCTGTAAACTGATTTAGAACATCAAGGTAATATTTAATTACATTCAGATCACATTCCAGCTTTAAAGATGGTGTTGTCTGGTAGCTGTGTGGAACATCCATTTATGACAGAAGAAAATACAGCCTAATCAAGACACTACTGCAGTCATAATGTGTCCTCAAGGCATTACTGTAAAATATCTTGAGTGCCCTTGAGTCACAAGAGAATTTTATGTTAAGACAAGAGATTAAATAATGTGCACAAATACACACGCACAGAGCTGTACTGCATACAGTACGCTGCTATCAAATCCTATCAGCAGAGTGTGGAAAGTACACACACACACACAAAATTAACCACAGGAGATTACACAATCTGATGCTGCAGTAGAAATTCATTTATTTTAATTGGCATTACTGCATGTAACTGTACATTCATATGCACGTAACTGGCATTCTTCTTTTCTAAATGTTTTGTGTGTTCCTGAACCACAATACCATAAACAGTACCCAAAGAAAAAAACCCACCCCAGCAGAGTCAAAATAAATTTTAACCACAGTTCTTCAGAGAAGTTGCTCAGCAGTTTGTGAAGGAGGAATAAGAAGAAAACATTTTACTGTTACCACTGCCAGCGTTCTTTTAATCATGAAAAATTATCAAAACCCACATCCCAACATCTAGGGATTGTCAGCTTGACTTCACTGCCCCGTTTGCCGACTGTGTTACTGCAAACGAAGGAAACTGCGACGAACAGTCATTTCAAAGGCCAGCATGCTCACTTGGATTCCCCAAGAAAAAAAACACTATACCTTTAACCCTACTTCAAAGTTTTACTCCCACACTGGAATGCAAAGTGAATGGAGTTTAGGAAATTAAGATACCCACACTGCAACTTCACCCAAGCCCACCAGCACCAGAGACACCCGAGTGCGCTGTCACCTGCCTACGTAATTTCAAAGCACTACACGGAAGGTGAATCAACAGCAGACCTGAAACCTTCCACAGCCGACTTTCACAACACAGAACTTCTGATTCGGAGTTTGTTCCCAGAGATGGGTGTAGCTCTGCGCTAGAGCTTCCCTGTGGAAACAGGTTGTTCCGGAGACTTCTGTCTCTGCTGCCGGGGCAGCTCACGCTCCCTCCCCTGGCTCTACCCTCCAGCTCACACCGCCTCGTGAGGATGTGGCCACGGAAGCCACGACGCAAATCACAGCGTCAAAGCCGTCAAGGAAGCTTCCTTTCCAACACCTGTTTTGCATTTAAATCATCATGTTAATGACACATACAATTTAAAAAATAAAATGCCTAGTATTTTTAAGCACTTAGAATCATAGAATGGTAAGGGTTAGAAGGGACCTTAAAGATCACCTGGTTCCAACCCCCCTGCCATGAGCAGGGCCATCTTCCACCAGCCCAGGTTACTCAGAGCTCCATCCAACCTGGCCTTGAACCCTGCCAGGGAGGGGGCAAAACTTCCAGGGAGGGGGCAGAGGATAGCACTTGCAGCGCTTGGCTAAAAAAAGTAAACACAAGAAAAAAAAATCCAGAATGCCCAGTGTCCCACCCACGACCCCCCCCAAACCCTAACAGTGAAGGCAACAGTCATGTAGGTGACCTGAAGATACACACTCACCATGAGAAAACATTCCTGAGAATTAAATTCTTGGACCCAGTTGTGACACATGTAAATTTATTCCAGGGGGTAGGAGGATTCCTCAAGATCCCTTCCTTTGCATACCAAGAGCAGGAAGGAAGGAAGGATGAAGAGAAACGGAGCACGGAGATTCAGGGTAAGCAAAGCAAACAAGTAAGATGATGAGTATCAAGTCAGGTTCTTTAGACCAGAGCGCAGCCCTGTCACTGTCAGTGAGAGGGTGACAAATTTTGTCATATTACTAGATAAGTACTTTCCCTTTTTATCAACTTTTAAATCATCAAATTTGTCCTTCGGCAGAATTGCAAAGCAAATAAAGCCAATTTCAGGCTTATAATACTGTATGCTACACAGAAAAGCATATGGAAGATTTGCCGATCTTTTCCTTACTGTGTTGCAAGGAAATACAGAATTAAATATATTTTAAAATCTAGGCAGCAGTGAATTCATCTGATGTCATGTTATAGTTTGATAGACTGAAAAATTATTTTCCAGTGGAGGGATGTTTTCCATTTAGACACTGTTAATATAAGAAACCTTATCATCTCCATTTTAATTCCCTCTCCTCCCCTGAAGAACACAAATCAGAACTTCTCAATAAAGCAACTTATTTCAAAGGCAGAACTGCAATAAATTATATTGAACATACAGTATAGTTGTTGACATTAGAAGAAACCACAGCTACTAAATACTGTCATATTGTTTTTCAAGGAGACCCACTTCCTTTTCTGTTTTGCTCAGACAGAAGTACAGCCACATCAAATCTTGTTATTTCAGAACTGACATTTTTCATTCACAAAATAAGAATTATGTACATATATGTATATACACGATTCTTAATACTGCTGTGGGAGATAAGCCAAAAGGAATACTAGGGACTGATAACAGAAGATCTAACAAAGATATGGCTTTGTACGGAAACCACAATTTAAGATGCTTTGCCTACGTACAGTTTTCCAAAGTTTATGAGTATCATCAGAGGACTTGTACTTTCCTGGGCTTTAAACTGTAAATGTGATACTCCAGAGACACCAAAATCACAAGAGGCCAGAGCCATCTGCTCGTGTGTCCTCCCAAAACCTACGTGTCTTTTTATGCAGGCACCTTCCTCAGCTGAACCACTCCTGCAACAAAAGACTCCAGAGTTCATACGGAAAGAAAATCTCCTTCACAAAAGCAGTGAATGACAACCACGACCTGAGGCTCAAATCACTAAGGGTGTCTGTGCAAAACCGGCATTTCTCCCACTATATGAGATACACACCGATTACAGTAACTACTGCGAGGAAGTCAACACCAAGATGCATTGCTTGGACTTTTCATGACAAGTATCTTCAGGATCAACCAACACGAACTGGGACTCTCACCAGAAACCAGACTCTGACAGATCACTGACGTCTAAGGATCAAAATGAAGTAAGCACTGCTACAAGGCAACCTGGGACACAGCGAAGCTGTACGGCTGAAAACAATTCCTCTTTCCCAAATACGACATGGAGTAGTAAGGTATTAAAAGCAGGGGAAAAAAATCTGGCACTGTGAGAAATGCATATTAACTTGTTTCAGCCAAGAGAAAACCACCTGTTTTTTCCATTGCATTTATCACCGTTGTATCTCTGCATCTTCACTTGTGGCTTCCCATGGAATATACATATGCACTATTTACACAGAAGCACAAGCACAAATAAACACTGTATCCCAAAATATTCAAAAATGTGCTGCCAGATGGCTTTAAAAAGAAAAATGAAAGATCTAATTAAAAACTCTTACATTGCCAGCAATCCATTTTTGGAAATAAATACAAAAGTTAAATCAAAATGTTTTTAAAGCACATCAATATTTTTGTCATGTTTTGCTTGACAATTGCAATGTCTCCTAAGCTCCTTCATGGATCACACAGACCAGGCCACACGAACCGGCGCTAACTGTAAACTCTTTTCCTGGCACGGTGGAAACAAAAGACTAACATACGTGGTGACTAGATTTGGGCAAATTCTCCCTAATTCCATCTCTTCCCATTCCTCTCTCTCCCTCCTGTTTAAAAATAAAAAAAAAAAATTAAAAATTGCTACTCCTATCACAAGTACTGTTTGTAATGAAGAAGATTTCACTGCCACTAGTTATCACAGTCATTTTCGAGGAAGAAATTTTATTTTCTTAATTTCCATACTTGAAACATGAAACCTGATGTTAGTTTACTACAGGATTATGTATAAGTATTGTTTTTCCCTGAGACCCAAACACACATAAAAGGAGTACTTTCAAAAACTGTAAATAAAAGACATGCATGAGGAGTTGGCATTTACTTACCACTGGACCTGTTTTTGCGGTTTGACTTCCCTCCAGTAAGAAGCATCTTGAGACTGTTTCGAAACATGGTGATCCTGTTCCACTTTGTGTATCCCAAAAACTGCGTAAAAAAGAAAAAAAAAAAAATCAACACTCCGATTTGGTCCACAGGAAAACATTACAGAGAAGCAGTAAGAAAGTGCTAAAACCCAGATGAACAACAGAGATGATGAGAAACCATTTTGCCACCACACTTCCTAACAACAGAAATCAACACGCGTACAAAGCCTCGCATTCTGTTTGCTTCCATGCATCCAGGCTATTTCCAGGACAACACAACTTCAGCACTGCTAGCATGACCTACCTATTTTGTCAAAGGATTTGACCAAATTATCACACTAAATTGTGAAAGACACGGCATTTAGCAAACTCTGCCTCCATCTCCCATTACCATTCATAGCCAAACCTATCAGGAAGAGCTCTTCACGTTGCTCAGAACCTTCACGTTCCTCAGAAAAAGTCAATTGTGCTGACAACAACCCACAGACTACAAAAGCTGTTGGCTTTAGCTCCTGGGTGAGTTGACTGTCAAATTCTTCTGTGAGTTGAGTCTCCATCTCCCATTACCATTCATAGCCAAATCTATCAGGAAGAGCTGCTGCCCTTCACGTTGCTCAGAAAAAGTCAATCGTGCTGACAACAACCCACAGACTACAAGAGCTGTTGGCTTTAGCTCCTGGGTGAGATGACTGTCAAATTCTTCTGTGAGTTGAGCAAACTGTCATGAGGAGGAAAGCCACCCAAAGTTAACTGATGCAAAAAAATCAAACATTATCCATATATTTTCCTTGCTCTATACATCTCAGGGGAAAAAGAAGAAGTTGTCTCTGTGCTGCAGAAGATAAAAGAATAAGCTTCTGGCTTCACCCGACACACTGACAGCTTGTTCTGGTGGAACATCCTCTTATTAATGTAGGTAAACCATCAAAACAGCAACAACAAAAGCAGCTCCTAACTAGACCAAAAGGATAGTAACAAGTCTTTGATCAAGACACACAATAAACCACAACTTCCCTTCTATTGTACACACAAATTTCCATAGTTACAAGGTAACACATTCATCTTACAGAAACACATCACGGAATCTTTTCCCTGCAACAATAATAGGTTCTTCTTGGAGGACGCTCAATAAATGTGATCTTGAGTTTCTTCACATTTATCTACTTCCTTCCAAGCATATTAATATAATAATACCCAGTTCAAAGAGCTTTTTTTATATATTTATATATGTATATTTAAAACCACTGAAAGTCCTTTTCACAGGACTTACTCCTTCACGGAGAGACACTAACACTCCAAGGCAGCAACTCCGAGCACACACACACCATTTGTTGTTGGTACAAACACCAGGAAGCAGGCACAGACGACCTTCACTTCAGCCTCGCCCGACTTGCAGGAGACTCCGTTCACTTACTAGATTGCACAAACAGATCTTGGGGTGTGTTCGTCTGCATGCATATATGTATGGAAAGCATGAATATTAAACAGCAAATACAGTACTGCTATTTCCTTTGCATCTACGAACCGCCTGAGTATCATCTGGCGTCTTTCTGAGGCCCTGCATAGCGACATCAAAGCACGACGAGCTTGTATTGAGCCTTATTCCCAGGGCTCCTGAACAAAGCTGCGGCCTCTCTTCGAAGCATCCTACTGTCACGTGACTACAAAAAACATCTCCATCTGGGCACAAACACAATTGTCTTAAATTTGAATTCAGTTTATTTAGTTTCTTTAGATGGCTGCTACATTCCAGCTCACACCATAGAAAAAAAAAACTTCTGGGTTTACACATCCTTCCTCTCTTACAATATGTTATGAATAAGCTCGCTCATATACAACACCCTTTGCAACATCAGAAGGAGAAAATGTGAAGTAGATGTTAAGTGGAAAGAGAAGGCAACCGAACTCAAAGTGTTATTTATTTTGGAACATGATAATATTATAATCCCTCCAACATGCCACTAATCCAAATGTATTTATCTAGGCTTTGAGCAAGACAACAAGAAGGCAGTAAACACCTTCTGCCACTATTTGGAGAACTGCTTAAGTCTAAATGCAACTTCTCTTTTCCTCCTCTGCAACGCTGAGCACTATGCTGACAACATAATGCGCACATTTGATTGATCAATTTATTTTTTTTTTTTAAGAAAAAGCAGACTCAAGTGGTTCTTGTATTAAGCCAAGTGTCACAACAACAACAAAGTTAATTTTTTCCTAAAAGTTTATGAACAGAAAAATGTAACTATCACCTATCTATTTTCCAAGACAGACAAAACAAGAAGTAGTAGTTTCTTTGTGCTCTGTGACAGTAATATAAAAAAAAAAAAAAAAAAAGAGACAGTGTTTCACCAGCTATCAGGGTTAACAACAACTCATGCTAAGGTATCCTCTTGCAAGAACACACAGCTCTTTCAACCAGCAAACTGAGGTACTTCTGGAAGTGTAGCTACAACGGTGAGCAATGGAGCAAAGGGCTGGCTGACCGCAGCGTGGGCAGACGACGCAGGCTGCACAGAGCTCCTCTCCCCACAGCTCACCTCCCTGCCCCAGCTATCCCAGCGCAGTGACTGCAGTGCCACGCGTCAGAGGACGCTCTCCAAAGCCTTCCCGCAGAACGGGTACTCAGCGTGTGCAACTCCAGTGTGGACTTAACGTACAGGTTTGATTCTCTGTTCGCACTGAAGTAAACCAGAATCACCTCCACTGCGGATGACAGAGGAACATCACAGTTTGACTATCATCAGCCAAGAATAAGGGCCTATTTTTCATTTTTTACCCATGGCATTGTACTAGCTAGCCAACGCAGGTGGAAGGACCAAAGGGGATTGTAAAGTGCCCAGTTTGCTTTTTCAGATTTAGGTAAAAAGAGGGTAAACAACTATCTTACAGCATTTGGTGAGACGAGGGTAAAGATCCTACTAAAATCCCACAAAAGAAAAGTGTAGGGTATTTCCTTTTTTCTTTTCATGTTTGTTTGTTTTTAAAAAGTAGCTCTCCAGGTATATCCATTTCGAGTCCCATCTAAGGCTGGAGGGACAATCAACCTTTATAAAGGGATCTTCCTCATAACCCAGCTCTCACAGCAGCACTGGGCAGCCCACAACATCAAAGCTCCATGACCCAAGGAGGCGGCTCAGGGACTATCCCCACAGGAGCTTGGGCCGAGCAGAGAACTGAGTGGAGCTGTGCCATCAGTGCTGAGGTACAACCTAATTAAACCTAATTATGCTGAAGAAGCCAACTGGACTGAGCCTGAACAGTGCCAAAGGTGAGGATGACCACTGCTAACCATGTTTACCACTGGCCTTCACACGACAAACCGTGCCAGACATTGCTGTGCTGCTCCTGGGACAGAACGCAGCCTCTGCACAGAGCTTATCTGGGGGCTCCATGAATTTGCTCTGAGGAATCACGGAGTAGACAGAATTGATGCCTTGCATTAAGACCCTGAGTCACCCGCCATGAGATGTCTCAAGGACGAATTCCATATTCTCAGAGCCTCAGAGGACTGCTAGATGTTAACTGACCTGCACAGGTGGGAGATGGAAAGAAAGGCCTTCTAGTAACAGACTGAGTTTAGCATCAACTCATGACGTGGTTTCCTATTGCATCTTACAGACAATGTTGTAGAACTCTAAGTACCCACTAAACCTCTAACCTGATTAGTTAACGTTTTCACAATACAGAGAAGCAGAATCAGCAGGTCACCAAAATCAACTGCTGTTTTTCTTTCGCATGCACAACCACATTATTTTGTGTCTTCGAGCAAATGTGGTCACAGCTCTTCCTCTGTTTAGCTAATACTAAGCCAGAAATAATATTTAGGAATAAGCACTCCAAATTAAAAATTCTGTTGGTCATATTAGTTCATGGAATTAGAAGGATTAAATAGCAAATGGTATTACAGTATTAGAAGGAGCTGGATCAGGCATTTTTTCCTACCCCAACAAACCCCTCCATACATCTTACAGCCCAGGTTAATTCTCTTCCCCAGCCTCGCCAGCAGCTGTGTCAGCAGACACCAAAGACGCCATACGCTGCTGGGGATCCCTTACAGCCCCACTGCCATGGGATACCTCTGTCATCGCATCAGGCAACCAAGAGCTGCTACGCTTCTGTTTGCCATTTAGCTTGCCATTTGTAACGTCACCAAATCTAATGAAGATGTTAAGTGAGCCAAAGTCCCAAACAGTATCAGGAGGTAAATAAAAACGTACTATCTCTACAGACTCTGTGGCACTTCACAAAAAAAAAGCCCTTTTTAAAAAACAGCTCAAGCACATTCTGTTTTCTGTATAGATAGACTCTGCCACATGTTGTTTTATCTTCTAACAAAGCTAGATTTCAATGAAATACACAAACAAAAATAGTTTCTGGAGCATGAAAAAGCAGTAGTAGAAATACAATGAAGAAAAAAAACCCAAACACGAAAGGCAAGCGAGCAGAGACAGACTGAATGCTGCAAGCTGCAACTTTACACCAAACGCTAAGCTTGAACAAGTCTGCAATATCTCATTAAACCCTCCTGGTGACTAAGGCCTCTTTCTTTGTTTTCTATTTTAAGACAGAGCTTGCAGACAGGCTGCGAAACCTACTTCATGTTTTGGGTGGCTACACATTATTACAGCTCACAGAAATAATTTTTGCTTCTTTTTAGGAATCTACTAGGGAAA